ATAAAAATACAGATAATTCATTTTTATTGTCATATACCATACCAACGTATGATTCTATCACAATTTGGTTATCTATGCCCTTATGCTGTTGTTTATTTAGATCATGACCAACTTTTTGATATTATTAATTATTCTGTAATGAAGTTTTACTGCAATAAGATTTTTCTATATTTTGGATCATTTCGGTAGCATGGTTGCCTAAAAGCAGATGTGAACGTTTTCGTGACATGAGGTAGATATTTGAAAGTGTTTTCCTAAAAGACTACACTGATTTATAATCCCCAAAACAGTCCCCAAAACAGTTTATGTGAGCATCCAGCTTACAGAAGCTTCACCAGCATTGAATACACCAAGCCATTCTTGAGTTAATTCACTCATTTTTAATGGAAACAATTGATTTTGGGATGAAATTAAGTAGCATGAAAAAAAGCAATTTATGTGTTAGGTTGAGTGTAAGCCATTTAGTGTAATTCTAAGATCCACTTTTAAATCGTCTGTTGCTCATGCAATACCATTGCATCATCTTCATGTTGTGGTTTTTATTTCAGCGAGGTTATGTATTGATCTGCTAAATATATTTGGTCTCTGCTATTGTTAGGAAGTTGCTGAAATTTCTTCTGTAGTACATTTTATTATAACATCCAGTAATAAAAATATTATCTTTTTTTAGAAATCCAGCATATGCTTTACTTTCTTTGTTGGGCATTTGTGATCATCAGCTTTCTTCATTATTTCAGGATTTCAATTTTCAGCTGTAACACTATGTCATCTTTGGATGACCTGAGTAATAATCAGAAGACCTGAGTAACAATCCCAGTTGCAGCTACACATCCCACATCAAATCATTCTCATTTTCCCCAGGAAATTATCAGATTTTTCGTCCATGAAGTAGGACTATCATTACCCAATTATGTTATTAAATGAGATATTTTGAAATAAAGTAGAAATATAGGGTAGCGTTAGTTATCCCTTTCCAAGTAATCATAGTGCCTGGGGTCCCCAGGAGAAGCCAGCGTTAGAGCTATTTTAGAGGTAACGTTGGTCAGCTTTATCTACCAATTTGCCTGACACCGCCACAGCAGCAGGTTATGCAGTGTATCAGAGGCTACCCACATCCTTAGAGACCACACCAGGCCTTACGTTCCAACAGCACCCTCCCCTGCCCACACAACAAGACCTCATACGACCCAGGATTACCGTTTGAATTTTTTCATTTCCTGGAACACTTCAGAAATCTTAAACTCCTTACTTCTGCTCTCTCAGTCTGACTTGTTATCCTTCTAGTTTTCTCAATCCCTCACTCCTCCTATACTTCTCTCTGACCTCATAGGAATCTGAAATCTCTTGTTCTGTTTTTTCCTAGACTGTCCGTCCCCCAACTTACCTCCTCTTTTGTTAGCCTCATTTTCTGCTACCAACTTTGTTTCAAACTTAACACTCCAGTACAGCAAATTGTTTGCTATTCCTTCATACATCACACTGTTTCTCTCTACTTTGCTCTGGCTAAAATGTGCTTCCTCTCTTCTCCCCTCCACTGACCAATTCCTTGTCCACTCAGCTCCATGAGCCCTTGTCTGGCTTCCCTCTGAGGCATAGAGTTTGCCCTTCCTTATGTTCCTTTAGTGTCGTCTGCTTGCTCTTTGTATGCTTGCTCCAGATACAGACCGTGAGTTTCCTGAGGGCAGAGACCATACCATGTGTTGTGACTCTAGTGCAGTGCCTGGAAATTAGAAGATACTTAATAAGTCCTTATGGAATGAGGGGATAACTAAATTACAAAAGTGCTATGTATTCATTCATGTTGTGTTTGTTTTTCATATGGTGTCACTGTATGGCGGGGATAGTAATGTTCACCAGATATTCCATGAACTCCTCCTGCATTTCTCAGCTTTCCTTGAACTTAGGTCAAGGCCATGTGAAGAGTTCTAGACAACAAGCTCTAAGCAGAAGTGATGCATGCATTTCACTTCTAGCCTGAGATCTTTAAAGACAGCAGCTAGTTTTCTAGACTCTTCCTTCTCTGCTTTTGTTCTTCTGAAAGTCTTGACATGGTGGTAACACAAGATCGTGGGTAAGAAACCCACGCTGGACATGTGGTGGGAGTGGGAAGTAAACCTGTTGTGTGAAGCCACTGAGATTTCAGGATTGTTACCACAGCATAGTTGAATCTCTCCTAAATAGTACTCATTGTTCCAAGATTCTACATTAATCTCTGACCTATTACATACATATAAGGCTGTGTTGAACTTACCCAGTATGCAACACTATCTCCTAAAGTCTGAGTGATGCCTAGGTTTAGGAAAAATTGCCACGTGACTCACGTTTTCCAACTGGCCTGCCTGTTGCTAGCCAGCTCTCTGCCTCAAAGTCTCTGCACATCAGAGTGTGCTTCCTACACTTGATTTAGGTTTTGCATCCTTGCCCAGCTTAATATACAGGCAGAGTAGTTCACAACCTGTTCCGTGTGACCTAAGTGATAGTGGGAATCTTTTCCTACACAGAAAAGTCCCCCACACTTACTCACACATGCCTCTGATTCCACAGCAGAATGCCGTGCTCTAACTTTAGATTTGGGTTGTTGTTGTAAATGAAAGCTCTCCCAGGAATGGTACCACAGTCCATTGCAGTCGCAGGCCAGAGGTGTCAGAGACCATCTCCACAGTAGCCCTGGCAGTCTCTGAAGCCCTCCTGATGTGTCAAAGATGTGTGTAACTCCCCTGGTCCACAATCACCAATACTCTAGTGGTAACATTGATACAATTCCATTCTTTTTTTTTTTTAATTTTTATTTTTTTCGGATGTACATCATATTTCAAATTCTAGATACATTACATCATGTTCACCACCCGAACACTAATTATAGTGCATCCCCTCACATGTGGCCCTAATCACCCCTTTTGCCCTCCCCCCTCCCCACTTCCCCAATGGTAACCACCAGTCCAATCTCCAAT